ATTTAGCCAAAGGTGGTCCTAGGCTAAAATTTACATATTGGACTCATTTTACTCCTAATTTTTCATAGATTTGATTTAGCTAGGTTCCATTCACATTGAATGAACCTAACTAAACCAAATTAACCATTTTCAAACTGGATGGAGTAAATTAAATCCAATGGGCCGCCCACCTTAGAAGTGTGTTCACACTTTGTGTTCACACTTGTTCACACTTGGCCGAATTTTTAGGCACTTCTCAAGCTTGGAAGCTTGAAGCACAAGCTTCTCCTTGGCAAGCTTACCAAGCAAGCCAAGTGAGAAGCTTGCTCTCCAAGCCTCTTAACTTGGACGGTTTAGCTAGACTCAACCATGGTTCCTAGTGAACCATGGTTAAGGCTAGCTTGCTCTCTAAGCTTCCTACTCCTACATACTTGTAAACCTTACCTTGTAAGACACTTTTGAGATAATTGAGATTGTATTTTCTGAATAGAGTTCAGATTTCTCTCTTCCAAAAGTCCCTAGGGAGGAGCTTGAAGGAAACTCAACATCAATCTGTGTTTCTCAACAAGTCTTCCATCACTTGCTTTGAGGCAAAACCAAATGGACTCCTTCGGATTTGCTTGCTTTATGAGGCAAAACCGAATGGACTCATTCAGATTTGCTTGCTTTATGAGGAAAAACCGAATGGACTCATTCGGATTTGCTTGCTTTAAGGCAAAACCGAATGTACTCATTCGGATTTTCTTTCTTTATGAGGCAAAATCGAATGGACTCCTTCGGATTTGCTTGCTTTATGAGGCAAAACCGAATGGACTCCTTTGGATTTTCTTGCTTTATGAGGAAAAACCGAATAGACTCATTCAGATTTGCTTGCTTTATGAGGCAAAATCGAATGGACTCATTCGGATTTGCTTGCTTTAAGGCAAAGCCGAATGGACTCATTCGGATTTTCTTGCGAGGGAGGCCTCTTTGTACATATTTCGAATGCACGTCCTTGGCCGAGTGCCTTTTTGTATGACGTTTGAAGGCATATCCTTGGCCGAGTGGATTCACTCGGGAGGGAAGACTCTGAATTCCGAAGGCACATTGGCTGAGTGGAGTCACTCGCGAGGGAAGCCTTTTTGTGCGAGTTTCGAAGGTACGTCCTTGGCCGAGTGGGGTCACTCGGGAGGGAAACCTTTTTGTGCGAGTTCCGAAGGTACTTCCTTGGCCGAGTGGGGTCACTCGGGAGGGAAACCTTTTTGTGCGAGTTCCGAAGGTACTTCCTTGGCCGAGTGGGGTCACTCGGGAGGGAAACCTTTTTGTGCGAGTTCCGAAGGTACTTCCTTGGCCGAGTGGGGTCACTCGGGAGGGAAACCTTTTTGTTAATGAACAATTGAAGTATAGATGAGAAAAATGTGTTGAATTGTATTTCATTGATGTGTGCCTCGTTAAAAACCTTGTCGGCCAAAACCCCTTTTCACTTTTTTATAAGGGGGAAAAAACCGATCAAGGAAAAGAGTGCACCATGTGTTTACATCATGATCATTATTGGGAATGACCATTATTACAAAGTTTAACTATAGTACGTCTTCAAATGGGACGAGTTCCATGTTCGTGGAATGACCCTGCCCGAGAGCTCTTCAAGTTTATATGTGCCATTGTCGAGGTTGTGTCGAACTCGAAACGGACCGTCCCAATTAGCGGCCAACTTGCCTTCTCGCGGATTGCGTCTTGCCGACCCCTGCACTCTCCACACTAAATCCCCCTCCTTGAAGTTTCTTTTGATGAGGTTAGAGTTGAACCTTCGGGTCATCCTCTGTTTGCATGCTTCGGCTATAATTTGAGCCCGTGCGCGTACTTCATCGACTAAATCACTTTCCGCCCGAAGGGACGCATCATTGGAATCCTCGTTGAAATGTGCTCGACGAAAGGAAGGTTCTCCGACTTCGACTGGTATCATTGCGTCGGTGCCATATGTTAGTCGAAACAGGGTCTCTTGAGTTGTAGATTGAGGTGTACATCGATACACCCACAATACTTTTGAAAGCTCCTCGGCCCATGCCCCCTTGGCTATCCCCAAGCGTTTCTTCAATTCCGAGAGGATAACCTTATTAGCGGCCTCAGCTTGGCCGTTTGATTGCGGGTGCTCGACTGACGTGAACCGGTGTTTGATTCCCAAGTCTTGAAGAAATTTGTTGAGTTTCTGATCGGTGAACTGAAGTCCATTGTCAGTGACGATGGCATGAGGGATCCCGAAGCGTGTGATGATGTTCTTCCAAAGGAACTTTTGGACATTATGTGCTGTGATAGTAGCAAGAGGTTCGGCCTGAATCCATTTGGTGAAATAATCAATTGCGACTAACAGAAACTTGCATTGCCCCTTAGCCATTGGAAACGGCCCGAGTATATCCATTCCCCACAGGGCAAATGGCCAAGGCGAATTGATGCTGTGTAGTTGTTCGGCTGATGCATGTATCAAGTTACCATGTTTTTAGCACTGGATGCATTTTTTGACAAACTCCATGCAATCGGTTTTGAGTGTTGGCTAGTAGTAGTAGGCCCGAAGCACCTTTGCTGCTAAGGTTCGCCCTCCGGTGTGAGAACCACAAATTCCTTCATGAACTTCCCGTAGTACATAATTGGCTTGTTTAGGGTCAAGACATTTGAGTAGAGGGGATGAAAAACCTCTTCGATAATGTTCCCCCTCCCACGACTGAGTATCTTGCGGCTTGAGTTCTAATCTTTTTGGTAGTCGAGGGACATGTAGGTTCGGCGCCTTCTATAATAAAGCGGGTGATGTCGGTCATCCATGTTGGTGATTGTTCAGAGATTATTAAACAATCAGTGGTATCGATACTTGGCACGGAGAGCTCAAGGTGAAGAGTGGTTCAAAGCTGTCCAGGCTTACCACTACTAGTTGCCAATCGGGCTAACTGATCAGCTCTCTCATTGTTTTCACGGGGTGTGTGCTTTACAATTACTTCATCGAAAAACTGGCACATATTCCGGAAAGTATGATAGTACTTCAACAAGTGGGCATCTTTAACCTAAAAATTCTCATTTACTTGTTCCGAGACAACCTTCGAGTCGGTCCAACAGATTAGCTTTCGGACGCCCACTTCTCAGGCTAGCCTTAACCTCGCCAACAATGCTTCATACTCAGCTTGGTTATTGGAGGCTTTGAATGCAAACCGAAGTGACTGTTCAAGTTCCATACCTATCGGTCCTTCAAGAATTACGCCGGCTCCACTACACTAGTTATTAGATGACCCGTCGACCTGGATCGTCCACTGATCACTCTTGAAATGTCCGGTTGGCTGTAATTCATTGACAAATTCCACCAAGCATTGTGACTTGATCGGACCCCTTGGTTCGAATGAGATGTCAAACTCTGACAACTCAATAGACCATGCCAGCATGCGGCCTGCCAGCTTGGGCTTTCTCAAAACCTTGGCGATAGGGCAATCAGTGCGTACAATGACTTTATGCCCTTGAAAGTACTGTCGGAGTCTACGAGCCGTGTGGACAAGTCCGAGTGCAACTTGTTCCAGTAGCTGGTATCTTCCTTCCGTCTCTTGTAACATCCGGCTGATAAAGTAAATAGGCGTTTGGGTCTCCTTCTCTTGTATCAATACCGAACTGATAGCCTCATGCGAAACACACATGTAAACAATGATGTCCAAAGTAGGGTCAGGCTTTGAGAGGATTGGAGGAGTTCCGAGGCGCTGCTTTAAAGTTTGAAAAGTTGTTTGACATTCCTCCGGCCATGTGAACTTGTTTACTTTCTTCAATAACCTGATGATAGGATTTGCGGTCTCAGCTAAACAGGTGATGAGGACATGGGAATCCTATCAACAGGGGAGGAACCGAGAGAGCGATGTTAGATGACCTGATACATGCTGAACCTCCTTGATGTTACGCGGACTTCTCATGCCAATTACTGCCTAACACTTATTTGGGTTTGCCTCAATGCCCCTAGTTGACAACATGAAGCCGAGGAACTTACCCCCGGCGATGCCGAAAACGCATTTTTCCGGATTCAACCTCATGTCATGTTTCCGAAGTTGATGAAAAACTTCCGTAAGGTCCCCTTTATGTGCGCAAAGATCATTTGACTTAACTACCATGTCATCAACGTAGACTTCGAGATTTTTGCCGATTTGATCTTTGAATACCTTGTCCATTAACCTCTGATAGGTTGCTCCTGCGTTTTTTAGTCCGAATGACATTACCCGATAACAGTAGTTGGCCGAGTCAGTGATGAAGGCTGTGTTGACCTCGTCCAGTGGGTGCATACAAATTTGATTGTACCCCGAATAAGCATCCAAGAAGGTCAATAGCTTATGTCCGGATGCCCCATCGACTAGTCGGTCTATATTAGGCAATGGGTACGCATCTTTGGGGTAGGCCTTGTTAAGATTGGTGTAATCCGTGCACATGCGCCATTTTCCATTTGGCTTTTTAACCATCACTACATTTGCCAGCCAAGTAGTGTATTGCACTTCCCGAATGAACCGGGCCTGTAACAACTTGGCAACTTTCGACTCAATCGCAATTTTTCTCTCTGTTCCCATTTTCCTTTTTCGTTGAGCAACCAGTTTGGCTGCTCGACAGATCGACAACCTGTGACACATAAATTCTGGGTCTATGCCCGACATATCCGAAGGCATCCAGGCAAACAAATCCTTGTTTGAGACGATTACTTTGCACAACGCGCGTCTTTCAGTTTCCGACAAATCGATACCAATGTAAGTAACCTGGGACGGGTGTGGGCCGACTTGTAGGGGGACCTTCTCCTCTATCGGTTCTGCACGCTCATCGTTTAACCTTGGGTCAAGGTCCCATGCTGAAGCCGATTCTGAGATCTGAGGGGTTATCGCGTGTACTCGTCTTGCCTTTGCTTGCCGTTCTTCAACTGGGGGTAGCCGCAGACTTGCAAAGTAGCATTCCCGAGCTTCTTTTTGATCGGCATGTATGGTGAGGATGCTCCCTTTGTTGGAGGGGAATTTCATGGCAAGATGGGGGGTAGAGACAACGGCTCACAAAGCATTCAACGACGGCCGACCCAGTAGAATGTTATATGATGTGCTGGCTTGAACAACAATGTATTTCACCTGGATGTCTCGATGTTCCTTTTCATCAAAGAAAAACCAAGTGGAGAGCTTGATGAATCCTCTCGTGTTGACTCTCTCACCTGCAAAACCTACAAGCGGTTCACTATAAGGAGTTAGCTCTTCCTCGGGGATGCCAAGTTGTTTGAAGGTATTCCAGTATAGAATATTGGCCGAATTGCCTTGATCTATCAATATTTTCTTCACAATGCAATTACGGATCTCAACACTAATGACCATAGGGTCATCTTGAACCGGGTCAATCCCTTGAAAGTCCTTGTCGGTAAATGTGATAGCGGGCATCCGCCGACCTGGACGTTGTTCGACACTATTGATCGACCTAACCGCTCGCAGATGTCTCTTTTGAGCCGACGAAGTTGATCCTCCCCCAGCAAAGCCCCCGACGATAGTATTGATCACACGCCTATGCGATACTTGTTGGTCATCTTTCCGATCGTGCGATCTGCTGCGCTCACGCCGATGTCTTTTTGAGTGCTCAGTTCGGTCTCGCTGCTGAGACTGGTACGAGGGGCGATGCCGAGATGTATTTGGCCGATCGATGAAATTTTGGAGTTGTCCTTGCTTGATGAGGTCTTCAATTCTATCCTTCAGGGCGACACACTCTTCAGTAGAATGTCCCCGATTGCGATGATACCTACAAGACTTGTTGGTGTCGGCCCTAGGGGGGGTTGATGCTCTCTTTGGAACCGCTAGACGCGCTTGCTCGAGTACTGCAGCTCGGCTTGCATTTAGTGGGGTATAGTGGGAGTACTTCAGACCCTGCGCAGGTCGATCCCGAAGAGTTAGCTCCTTGCCTCGCCCCCTGTATGGTTTCTCTGTTTGCTTTTCGGTTTTGGCTACTGGTTCGGCCCGAGCCTGATTACAATATTCAGCCAGTTCTTCCATCTGCATATATTTATCAGCTCTCCTCCGTAGGTCATTCATGTCCGAAGGAGGTTTTTTGCAAATGCTATTGACAAACGGTCCGGGTTTCAAGGCCGTAGTGAGGTGATGGAGCGCTACAGCAGGATTGAGGTCTCGGATTTCAAAAGTTGCTTTATTAAACCGATCCATGAAAGTCCGGAGTGATTCTTTTTTGTCTTGCCGAAGGCCTACCAGCGATAGAGACGTCAAGCTGTGAGGACGACTCGTTGCAAACTGAATAGTGAACTAGGATGACAAAGTGCTGAACGAATCGATAGAATTGGGGGGGGGGAGTCGAGTGAACCAACTCAGAGCCCTGCCTTTGAGGGATGTTGGAAAAATCCGGCACAAAGCAGCATCATCCGTGGTGCTCAATGTTACCTGCGATGAAATTTTGGAGTTGTCCTTGCTTGATGAGGCATGCAAAGTCACTCATCGAGAAGTCTCGAGGAGTTCAACTCACTCAGCTAGATGTTGATCGTTCAGTTAGATGTTATTTGCTTAACAAGAGGCTCTAAGGAGCTGAGCTCACTTAATGACCGTTAAATGGTTGTTTTATCCTTGTGATCTTGATACTACCTTTTTACTAATGATTAATTGATGTATTAGAGAAAGTACATGGAATATGTGAGATGATATGAGGAATATGTGATATGTTAAGTGAGATCATGTGTATGTTATTAAATTGAGTCTGTTTGACATGCATCACATGCATAAAAAATGTTTTTTTAAAGGTACAATATGGAATACACCACCAGGGAAGGTCTCTTGAGCAAAAGCTTGGGAACCAACCTTAAGGATAGTTCAGTTTGGAAGTTTTAGTCCTGTCCTCGTGTACATGAGATGTATCTTGTGCGACTTAGCTATCTCAACTAGACCCTAGTAATATGTCCTTTTAGTGAGAGTGCATAGAGGGTGTGATAGTATGTGCTCCTAAACTATTTTACGTGTATTGTTAGGGACAATGCACAAGTGTGATATGTGATATTTTATTGGTGCCACATGTATGATGGCATGTAGTCCGTGTTCATTGCATAATGCATTATAATGTAACTATTTTTGTTTATTATGTTATGACTAAATGACTATGGTTATAATGTTTGTCTGTATATACTATATATTGTATTCCTTGTTTGTGTTTAGATACTCAGTTTGACCTCCTACATTATGAGCCAGAGTGAGATATTTTTCACTCCCTTTGATTTTTGTTGTTTTCCTTGGATGTTATGCAGGTAATTATCAAGATAAGGCTAAAAATATTGGTGATGAGGCTTAGGCTTCAGTATTAAGTTTTGCTTTGATAGAACATGTAACATTGAGCGTAGCTAAGATTAGATTAGGATATTGTTTTGTTGAAGTATTTTGAAAAACATTAGTTTTATTTTTTTACAATTTCGTTGATTATGTTATTTGGTTAAGTTAAAAATGTGATACTTTCTACCTAAATGTGTTTGGTTATTAATTATGAAGAATTATTTTATTCAAATTTTATTACTTATGTCTTATGGTATGCGGGGTAGAGAATGTCATAAGTTTTGGTAAACTTACTATACTTAATAATTCATATTCTATATCAAATTTCAATGATCTAACCATTGAATTAATTTTTTTTTAATATATAAAAAAGTATATACAAATTTTAAAAAATTTGAAAATCATATGATACTTCATTATATAGATTCAAATCAACCTATAAAATACTTTTACGATTATTCGTCGATTTGAATTAATGAAATCAAGTATAGTTTACAAATTTTTTTAAAATTTGCAAACTTAATCTATGTATTAACGACTTTTAATTTAACGTTGGATCTGAGAAATTTAATGAAGAACATAAGTTATTAAATGAAGTAAGTCTACTAAGACTTACTCTTAGAATAATTAGATCTCTCCTCATATGACGGATAATCATAAAATCATTTTCTATGTTGATTTGAATTAATGAAATGAAATATCAAATAATTTTTAAATTTTTAAAAAAATTTGTAGATTTGATCTATGTATTAAGAACTTTAAATTCAACGATTAGATTCCTAAAATTTGATATAGAATATGAGTTATTGAATGAAATAAGTCTAAGTAAACTTACTCATAGAATAAACTGATCTCGTCTTATATATATATATATATATATATATATATATATATATTAGAGTTTGGTCGTGTTATTTGTCAAAAGAATTTTAATTTTGGTGGATCATTATCGAGAAATGCCGGTCATATTTTTATAGAAGCAAATCAAGTATTGAATACATTAATGAAGTGTGGGAATTTTATGACGGAAGATTTACACTTTTTTCAAACTCCACCTCCTTGCATTTAAATTCTTTACTTGATAATCTTTTTATATATTTTTTATAATTTTTAATTTGTACTTTTAGCCTCCCATTATAAAAATAAAAAAGATATTAAATTTGAGCATTCTTATCATCATTGTAAAGAAAATAACTACCATAAACTTGAAAAATCTTTCTAGAGAGATTACAAAGAAGATTTTTCAAACAAACTCTCAAGTTCTACAAACTAATTTTCATCTTTCATCTTGCCTAGAGCCTAGAGTGTTGCAGGTAGTTAGAAATTAAGTAGATAGTTATGTTCAATTATAAGGATGATCACACTCTTTAGAAAAAAAAATATAAGGATATTCATATTTGGATTGAATTTTTTTAGAAGTAAAAATTATTTGATTTATATTTTCATAATTTTTTTTATTAATTATTAGAAAAAATTAAATATTACTTTTTAATCTTTATAGTTAAAAATATTTTGTTTTAGTTTTTCTAAATACCAATTTAATTTTTTTAATCCTTAATATCTATTATTATAAGGACTGAAAATTAAAATCTATGACACTATAAAGATGAAAACAAAAAATAATATATAAAAAGACTAAAATAATATATTTTAAATTAAAAGAATTAAAAGGTAAAATTATAAAGAAAAAAAGTTAAACCTAATAGGTTTAATGACTTAAAAGGCCTAATGTCAGCGACTTTACATGTGCTAAGAGTGAATTACATTTTAACCATATTTGCATTTATTTTTTTAATAGTTTTCTTGATAGACTATATTGCCTTTATTTGTTTTGTATATATAATCACTGTCTTTATCACTTTAATGTTAGAATATGCCATGCTTAATTACTACTAGAGATAATTAACATAGTTCCCCCCCCCCCCCCCCCCTTTTTAACCCCCCTTCCCCCACTT